ATACATAGCATATATGGGCAAAAACATGCCTATACAAAATCCCTTATAGCTCTTTTGAATGAACCGTGACCTTCAATTTGTTTTCATATTTAGATAGAGTATGAGTCGGAGATATGATTTCATGTCTCATTTGGCCATTAAGTGTATCGTGACATCATCATAATGGCCTTGGAACTCAAAATACGAATTTGCATATTATGACGTCAGCATATTTATGGAAAATTGATTGTATCTCTGTAAATGTTGATCGATTTTCTTTTAAATTTCGATATGTTGTAGCTAAGACAATTCTCTACGAGCCTAATGATCACCATTTTTCATTTTGATCACGTCATCATAGTGAAAATTACGATTAAAGGGCACATATCAGAAATTTCTTAAGTTGCGTGTTATGCCTATGGAAGGTGAATTTCGTTCACATCATTAATCTACATGACATTGTTTTTTAGCAGTATCTCGCTTATTTTTGTACTATTTTGTCTCAAATTTTAGTTGACCAGCCCACCTATACTTGTTCCAAACAAGTATTATATGTCTAGTTTATTTATTATTCTTTATTTTTCTTATTTCGAACCACTTTTTTGTAAGCACGATTACTTGAAAATGGCTCAATCAAATGCCTTCAAATTTGGCACACATATGTATAGGCATATGTACAAAGCACAATAATGTTTTCAACATTGACCTTTACCGATGACGTCATCTAGGCGCCATTTTGTAAAATTTTACGAAAATCAACGCATGATCATATCTTCATAACCAAAAGGTATTTCTCATTCATATTTATCATGATCAAGGTCAATATCCGTCCGGTCAATTCAGGTCAAAAAACGCGCGCGTGCGCATACGTCCGCGCGTCAATGCGCGCGCAAAAATTTAAAATGCTCAAAATCGTCTCAAAATCATTTTGCATACGTTTTAGGTCATTCTAAGCATTTTATAAAAAATCGCGCACACGCGCGTACGCGCGCGCGCGTTTTCGCGCGTAAAACTATTACACAACATAGAATCGCCAATTTTTATTTTCATAATATTCCACATATTTTTACAAAGAAATTGATACCATGTTTGTCTCTTTATGACTATTAATAACGAAATGATCGACCGTTTAACAAAAATTTCCGTGCGCGCGAGCTCTTATAATACATAGCATATTATGGGCAAAAACATGCCTATACAAAATCCATCGTCGCTCTTTAGGATGCAGGATGACCCCAATTTTTTTGTCATATTTTAATAGAGTATGATTCGAAGATATTGTTTCATGTCTCATTTGACCCTCAATTAACTCATGACGTCATCTTAATGACCACCGAACTCAAAATTCCAATTTTGCATATTATGACCTCAGCATATTTATGGAAAATTGATTGTATCTCTGTAAATATTGATCGATTTTCTTCCAAATTTTGATATGTTCTAGCTGAGACAATTTTCTACAAATGCAGTTATTATCCTTTATTTCGGCAAAAGGCATTATGGCGTCTTTTTTGCGATTAAAGGAGGCATGTCAATTTTTAACATTTTGCGTGTAATCTCTATGGGACATGGCTTTTTCTCAAAACTGGATTCTACATTCCCGTCTTTCGCGAGCAATATCTCCGTCGTTTTAGCTTTGTTTACGCTGAACTTTGAGTATGTTGTAGCTGAGACAATTAGCTATCTCAAATGTGCACTTCATTTTGTCTCAAATTTTAGTTGGACCAGCCCACCTATACTTGTTCCAAACAAGTATTACAAATCTAGTTTATTTTTATTATTCTTTATTTTTCTTATTTCGAACCACTTTTTTGTAAGCACGATTACTTAAAAATGGCTCAATCAAATGCCTTCAAATTTGGCACACATGTGTATAGGCAAATGTACAAAGCACAGTAATGTTTTCAACATTGACCTTCACTGATGACGTCATTTAGGCGCCATTTTGTAAAATTTTTAACGAAAATCAACTCATAATCATATCTTCATAACCAAAAGGTATTTCTCATTCATATTTATCATGATCAAGATCAATATCCGTCCGGTCAATTTCAGGTCAAATAACACGCGCGTACGCAAACGTCCGCGCGTCAATGCGCGCGCAAAATTTTGAAATGCTCAAAATCGTCTCAAAATCATTTTGCATAAGTTTTAGGCCATTTTAAGCATTTTATAAAAAAATCGCGCACACGCGCATGCGCGCGCGTTTTCGCGCGTAAAACGATTGCACAACATAGAATTGCCTTTTTTTTTCTTTCATAATATTCCACATATATTTACAAACAAATTGATACCACGTTTGTATCTTTATGACTATTAATAACGGATTGATCGACCGTTTAACAAAAATTTCCGTGCGCGCGAGCTCTTGTAATACATAGCATATATGGGCAAAAACATGCCTAAACAAAATCCATTGTAGCTCTTTAGGATGCAAGGTGACCCCAATTTTGTTTCATATTTTAATAGAGTATGATTCGGAGATATTGTTTCATTTCTCATTTGACCCTCAATTAACTCATGACGTTATCATAATGGCCTCTGAACACAAAATACCAATTTGCATATTATGACGTCAGCATATTTATGGAAAATTGATTGTATCTCTGTAAATATTGATCAATTTTCTTCCAAATTTTGATATGTTCTAGCTGAGACAATTTTCTACAAATGTAGTTGCTATTATTTTTCATTTTGACAAAGGCATCATGGCGTATTTTTGCGGTTAAAGGAGGCATGTCAATTTTTTACATTTTGCGTGTATTCTCTATGGGACATGACTTTTTCTCAAAACTCGATTCTACATTCCCGTCTTTCGCGAGTAATATCTCTGTCGTTTTAGCTTCGTTTACGCTGAACTTCGAGTATGTTGTAGATGAGACAAAAAGCTATCTCAAATATACCCTTTATTTTGTCTCAATTTTTTGTTGGATCAGCCCACCTATACTTGTTCCAAACAAGTATTACAAATCTATTTATTTATTTATTTTTCTTATTTCGACCCACTTTTTGTGAGCAAGATAACTTAAAAATGGTTCAATCAAATACCTTGAAATTTGGCACACATAATATAGGCATTAGAAGAAAAGACTGACAAATTTTCAACCTTGACTTTGACGGATGACGTCATCTAGGCGCCATTTTGTGAAATTTTCTGAAAATCAACTCATGATCATATCTTCATAACCAAAATCCATTTCACATTCATATTTATCATGATCAAGGTCAATATCCGTCCGGTCAATTTCAGTTAAAAAAATGCGCGCGTGCGCGTACGTCCGCGCGTCAGTATGCACGCAAAATTTGAAAATGCTCAAAATCGTCTCAAATTTTTTTTGCATACGTTTCAGGTCATTTCAAGCATTTTATAAAAAATCGCGCACACGCGCATGCGCGCGCGTTTTCGCGCGTAACACCATTAACTAACAAAGAATCGCCATTTTTTTTTCTTTCATGATAATTCCCATATTTTTTCAAACAATTTGATACCATGTTGATCTCTTTATGACCATTAATAACAAGATGAGCGTCCATTCAAGATAAATGTCCGTGCGCGCGAGCTCTTATAATACATAGCATATATGGGCAAAAACATTCCTATACAAAATCCATTATAGCTCTTTGGAATGCACCGGGATCCTCAATTATTTTTCATATTCTGATAGAGTATGAGTCGGAGATATGATTTCATGTCTCATTTGGCCATTAAGTGTATCGTGACATCATCACAATGGCCTTGGAACTCAAAATACGAATTTGCATATTATGACGTCAGCATATTTATGTAAAATTGATTGTATCTCTGTAAATATTGATCAATTTTTTCAAAATTTCGATATGTTGTAGCTAAGACAAATCTCTACTAGCGGAATAATAACCATTTTTCATTTTGATGACGTCATCATAGTGAAAATCTCGATTAAAGGCCTCATGTCAAACATTTCATAATTTGCGGTATCCCTATAGAAGGTGAATTTCGTTCACGTCATGAAACTACATGATATTGTTTTTTAAGAATGTTTAAGCAGTTTCTCTTATTTTTGCTCTATTTTGTCTCAAATTTAAGTTGACCAGCCCACCTATACTTGTTCCAAACAAGTATTATATGTCTAGTTATCATTATTTTCATATTAAAAATAATTGTCTCGTATGATATCATCAGTTTTGTATTTTTAATCCCAGTGGCATAAACGGAATGAAAATGAAGAAATGTTTCGGCAAAACCCATTCGGTTGTAAAGCTTCTCGTCATTCTTTGCATGACATCCCTCATCCAAATTGCAGTTGGGGGTAAGTAACATTGAATACAAGTATACCGGTTAGGAATATATCTGTTTATCAATGTGAATAGACCTAGATTTGGGGGGAAATTCAAATGTTCATTTTCCATTGTCTACTAAGTATTCCAAGTACACATAGATTAAATGTGAAGAAAGAACACACACGATACATTGAAGTAAAACAGGAAAAGATTTTCTACGAAAAAGGCTTGCATTTTTTTCTAAGCAGATTATGTTTTTTGTACTTTTGTTCATTATCCTTGTAATTGGTCGTGTAGGTAGGCCTGTATGGTAAAGGCACAATGTTTACACTGAATGTACTCATAGACTTAGATCGACATTTGGTACATGAATACGATATTGGTTTACAGTACGCGAGAGTAGGCTTATGTATCAACATCAGTCAATACTAATAGAATTTCGTTACTTTTGTAAAAGAATTTTGTTTGCTTGAGAAAAAAGGTAGACATTCTCTATATCTGTAAAGCGCTTATAGACAAGAAAGACTACATTATACAGGTAAAACAAAAATAACATTACATTTAAAAGCATTGTTTAACAATGCTAAATCTAAGATGCATGGCCATACTTGTTATCAGTGTCTGTGATATTGTGCAATATTAAAGTCCTAAAAGTCAGATCTGTCCCCAACATCTTGTTAACAGACCGGACTAAGAGCAACTGATAACCACTTGAAATTAAGAGCAGAATTCTTAAATAAAGGGTGTATAGTTCTTTAGTAATGCGTATCTTTCCTTCAGGAACAACACTGGGGAAAACGCCAGGAACAACACCTCGAACAACACCTCGAACAACACCTCGAACAACACCTCGAACAACCGCTGAAACAACACCAGTTACAACACCTGGAACAACATCTGGAACTACTCCGGGAAAAACAGCCGGCACAACACCAGGTTAGGTTAAGTTTTGTTAAGGGCATGAAGCTAAACACACTATAGTACTTTCAATGATGTGGGTTCTCGGAATGTCATGTGGTTATTCCTTCTGTAAGAAGCTTTAAGTATTTGTCACTCCTGATACATGTCATGTCCAATGCAAAACATCTTCTGATAACCATGTAAAATTAAGCACAGAAATCTAGAACATAGGTATATAGTTTTTTAGTAATTCGTATAACATTAAATGTATCCCTCATGAACAACACTAGGAACAAGCGCAGGAAGAACCACTGGAACAACACCTGAAATGACCCCTGGGACAACACCTGGAACAACACCTAGAACAACGCCAGCTACAACCTCAGGAACAACTCCAGGAGCAACCCCTGGAACAACGCCAGCTACAGCACCGGGAATGACCTCGGGGACAACACTTGGAGCAAATCCGGGAACCACACAGGGTACTACGCCGGGCACAACACCGGGAACAACACCTGGAACAACACCTGTGACAACGGCAGCTACAGTACCTGGAAAAACACCTGGATCAACACATGGAACAACACCGGGATCAACACCTGGCACAACAAAAGGTCAGCTAAAGTTTTGTTTGAAGTATAAAGCTAGAGACACTATTGTACTTTCAAGGATTGGGGTTCTCTGAATGTCATGTTGTTATTGCCTCTGTAAGCAGCTTAGAGCATTTGTCACACCTGATAGATGACATTTCCAATGCAAAAAAGCTTCTGATATCCACGTAAATTAAGCGTAGAAATCTTAAATATTGGTGTATAGTTCGTTACTAATGTGTATAACATTTGATTTGTTTTCCTTTAGGAACAACACATGCAACAACACCTGAAACAACGCCAGCTTCAACACCTGTAAAAACGCCAGCTACCACACCTGTAATAACGCCATCTACAACATCTGTAACAACGCCATCTACAACACCTGTAATAACGCCAGCTACAACACCTGTAACAACGCCAGCTACCACACATGTAACAACGCCATCAACGACACCTGGAACAACGCCATCTACGACACCTGGAACAACACCTATAACAGCGCCATCTACAACACCTGTAATAACGACAGCTACCACACCTGGAACAACACCTGTAACAGCGCCATCTACAACACCTGTAATAACGCCAGCTACCACACCTGTAACAACGTCATCAACAACACCTGGAACAACACCAGCTACAACTCCTGGAACAACGCCATCTACAACACCTGTAACAACGCCATCTACGACACCTGGAACAACACCTGTAACAGCGCCATCTACAACACCTGTAATAACGCCAGCTACCACACCTGTAACAACGTCATCAACAACACCTGGAACAACACCTGTAATAACGCCATCAACAACGCCCGGTACAACACCTGGAACAATGCCAGCTACAACACCTGGAACAACACCTGTGACAATGTCAGTTACAACACCTAGAACAACACCTGTGACAACGCCAGCTACAACACCTGTAATAACGCCAGCTACAACACCTGTAACAACGCCAGCTACAACACCTGTAACAACGCCATCTACAACACCTGAAATAACGCAAGCTACAATACCGGTAACGACGCCAGCTACAACACCAGGAACAACACCTGGAACAATGCCAGCTACAACACCTGGAACAACACCTGTGACAATGTCAGTTAAAACACCTAGAACAACACCTGTGACAACGCCAGCTTCAACACCTGTAATAACGCCAGCTACAACACCTGTAACAACGCCAGCTACAACACCTATAACAACGCCATCTACAACACCTGAAATAACGCAAGCTACAATACCGGTAACAACGCCAGCTTCAACACCTGGAACAACACCTGTAATAACGCCATCAACAACGCCCGGTACAACACCTGGAACAATGCCAGCTACAACACCTGGAACAACACCTGTGACAATGTCAGTTACAACACCTAGAACAACACCTGTGACAACGCCAGCTACAACACCTATAACAACACCTGTGACAACGCCATCTACAACACCTGTAATAAAGCCAGCTACAACATCTGTAACAACGCCAGCTACAACACCTGTAACAACGCCAGCTACAACTCCTGGAACAACACCTGGAACAACACCTGTAACAACGCCTACTACAACACCTGTAACAACGCCATCTACAACAACTGTAACAACGCCATCTACAACACCTGTAATAACGCAAGCTACGATACCGGTAACAACGCCAGCTACAACACCTGGAACAACACCTGTAACAACGCCAGCTACAACCCCTGGAACAACACCGGTAACAACGCCATCTACAACACCTGGAACAACACCTGTAACAACGCCAGCTACAATACCTGAAACAACGCTAGCTACAACACCTGGAACAACACCTGTAACAACGCCAGCTACAACACCTGGAACAACACTGGTAACAACGACATCTACAACACCTGGAACAACACCTGTAACAACGCCAGCTACAACACCTGGAACAACAACTGTAACAACGCCATCTACAACACATGTAATAACGCAAGCTACAATACCGGTTACAACGCCAGCTTCAACACCTGGAACAACACCTGTAATAACGCCATCAACAACGCCAGGTACAACACCTGGAACAATGCCAGCTACAACACCTGGAACAACACCTGTGACACTGTCAGCTACAACACCTAGAACAACTCCGGGAACGGCACCAGGTACTACACGAGGCACGACACCAGGTTAGGTCAAGTTTTGTGTGGGATATAAAGCTAGAATACCCTATAGTACTTTTACGGATTTTGGGTTCTCTGAATGTCATGTGTTTATTGCCTCTGTGAGCAGCTTTAAGTATTTGTCACACCTAATATTTGAAATTTCAAATGCCAAACAGTTTCCGATAACCATGTAAATTTAAGCGCAAGAATCTTGAATATATGTGTACAGTTCTTTAGTAATATGTGTAACATTTAATTTTCCCCTCAGGAACAACACTGGGAGCGACCCCAGGAACAACGCCAGGAACAACAACTGGTACAACGCGAGCTACAACACCTAGAACAACACCAGCTGGAACAACTTTGGGAACCACATTAGGTACTACACCAGGCACAACACCAGGTTAGGTCAAGTTTTGTTTGAGGTATCAAACTAGACACAGTATTGTACTTTTAAGGATTTTGGTTCTCTGAATGTCATGTGATTGTTGCCTCTGTGAGCAGCTTTAAGCATTTGTCACAAGTCACAACGATTGGGGATTCGGGGATTGGGGCACTTTAGAGGCATCTTGCATGCACTCCTAACCACTTAAATCATCTGACAGTGGTCATTTGTGTATCTGTAGACTCTGCCGAACAATTTCCCACTGGTTTCATAGGGTTTCCTTTCCAGCTGATCTAGCTCCATTTTGTGACCTCTTTAGGGCGTCTGGCAGGCTCTCCCCACCACTCAATTCGTCTGGCAGTGGTCATTAGTGTATATGTGGACTCTGCCGAACGATTCCCAGTTGGTTTCCTGGGGTTTCCTTTCCAGCTGATCTAGCTCAATTTTATGACCTCTTTGGGGGCGTTTGGCGGGCACCTTCCACCATTTTGTACCTCGAGACTATGGCGAATCTTCTAATATGGTTTTCATTGGGTTTCCTTTCCAGCTGATCTAGTTCAATCTTTTGACCCCTTTGGGGCCTTCCCCTAGCCACACCCACCACTTAGGATATGCCACCATATGACCATTTGGCATTGACCCTGTTAAATAACCAGTTACACCATTGACTCTAATTGACATAATGAAGAATGCATTTTCACAATTTCATCTCATTTCATGAAATACTTCACCCGTCATGCTCTACCTATATGTCAAGTTTTCAGCTGATAGTCAGGGAACCAGGGGGGACAACCTAACTGGAAAGGAAACCATTTTTCTTGTGCACGGATGTAAAGATCGCATAGCCCAATATAACAAATTGACACCTAGGTGTGTAAAAACGCGTAAAAACGCGTTATATGACGCACATAAACCTAGGTTTGTCGACAAACCTCCTTCGTGAATTCGAGCCATAATGACCGAGGCTACACAGTTGAAACTTGCCTTTTGGATATACCATAATGGGAGGAGCATTTTATAAGATATGATGAATTCGTGAAAATTCTTTCTTCATTATGTTAAAAAATTAGTATACGTATCACCTAATTCGTCAAAGTGACGAATTCAAGTCTAGTTATTATTATTTGTATTAATATTATGATAATAATAATTACGATAATAATAATAATAATAATTGATTTTCCACTTTATTTACCCCATTGTTTAGGTCTGTTCTTTCCATTTGGGTTAAATGAAGGGGACGAATTTCTACCAGCCAACGATGATGGTTCCACAAACGAGTTACCAATCTCTGTCGCCTTCCCGTTCTTCGATCACAACCAAACTAGACTTTTTGTAAGTCCCTCGTTGCTTGAATCAAAATATTTTGTTTAAAAGAAATCTGTCGCACCCTTTTAACATGACATCACATTTAGGAACACATTTCATATTCATGTCACATTTGTTTGTACATGAACATGGTAATAATAATAATTACAGTGCTTATATAGCGCCTAACACTTACTTTGTCAGAAGTCTCTAAGCGCTCTACAATAATGCAGCATAATTACCCTGGTAAAGATATAAAATCTAATAGTGCTTTAACTTATTTTAAATTTTAAAAGGAAAGACAAGATTTTAATAATCCCAGCGTATTTTACATCAGAGAGTTGCTGCGGTTGTAACGGCCTAGGGCAGTCAAAAAACTAAGGCATCGTCAACAACACCTACTTTCGCCTCCCCCCCCCCTCTCTCTCTCTCTCTCTCTCTCTCTTTCTCTCTCTCGCTTCATATCAATATATATATCGTTTTCTCTATCGTCCTCATCTCTCTCTCTCTCTCTCTCTCTCTCTCTATGTATGTTTGCGTGGGTGTCCGTGTGTGTATGTCCGTTTGAACTGATATCTGTCTTCTTTTTTATTTTAATATTACCGTTCGTCTTTTTCAATGTTCCACATGAATTGGCTACATTATTACTTACTACCGCCTTCCCTATCTGTCTCCCCATTTCTTTGTTTACTACTATGTTGATGCAGGTCAACAATAACGGTGTCATCTCGTTCTTGGCGGCAGTTAGTCAATTTAACTCATATTCGTTTCCAGTCGCTGATGGCCGACCCATTATAACCCCATTCTGGGCTGATGTTGACACGCGTAAGGGCGGGACTCTATCCTATCGAGAAGTCTTACGATTTGCCCAAGACGACGGCATATTCCTCGCAGCTGATGATATCATAAGAGCATCATTTGTTGACATGAAATTTTTTTTGTCGTCATGGATGTTCATCGCGACCTGGGACAGCGTTGCTTTCTATGGTGCTTCTAATCAATCCGCGGCGGTAAGTACAGTGACTTAATCGATAATTCATCGATGAACCTATTCATATTTATCATCCGTCCCTACTGTTTAATGGATTTTGAGTAATATTTTATGTTATGGCGATGTAATAAAAAAAAAACCGAAGAAATTCCACGAGAATAAAAATAAATCGGTATTTCTTATAGAATCTTGCATTAACTAGAGGACATTCGCCCTTTTGAAAGTCCTGTCAACCAATTTGCATACACGATTAGAGGATTACAGCAGATATTAAACCCAAGTGCAAACCTCCTGGAAATCAAGCTGATCAAACATTTAAAAATGTGTAAACAGCAATTGACTTATTATTCATTTTGGTCCGTTAAGCAATCTATGTTTTTGTATTTTTTCACTTTAGTACGTCTTTATCTATCACTAAAATTACTAAAAGTTGAGATTCATTTCATTCTTCATCCTGCCGTGTTATCCGTTTTGTTTCATCAAATATTTAATATTTATATCAAAATATATATTTGGATAATGTTGATATTTTACTTCAGAGAAATTCCTTTCAAGCTGTTATGATGACAGATGGCCGATACTCCTTCGCCATCTTTAATTACCGTGATATCAACTGGGCAGCAGGAGGAAGTAGTAGCCCAGCTCAGGTAAATCATTTTGTTGTTTGGTGTATACCTCCTTCTTCTTGTAAACTAGGGACACGGTTGTGTATATGGTAACGAGCTCATGTATTACAGTAGCCCCTCCCATTTATATGACATAATGCATCAGTCACACCGCCAAACCGACTCCAAGTCGAGGCCAGACCGAGTAATTCTCCAACATTTGGTGTAATGTAATTTTTGATCAGTTTGGTGTCGGTTGTGACTCTAGTACTACGGTTATAATTTTGGAAGATCCTTTTCATGATTTGGGTTTTAGTTTAGTTAGGAAGGCAAGAGGCTGAAACATAACACCCGTTTAAATGCTATGCTGCATATATCGATAAAAGGGAATAAAATTACATGTTATAATCGTTACCTAAAGGTACTATGTCCCATTTGCAGGCCAAAAAATGAAAAGGTTAAATTCCAACGGCATTTGAAAGATGATACTAATTTAGAACTTCCCTTAAAACAGGGGGGGGGGGGGGGGCTTACGTACGTCGTACGTTTTGTGCTGCGCAAAGATTCAATCAGTTTAACTTTGGCCATTACAAGAAGTGGGTATTGATGTAGACAAATGCTCATGTATCCTTATCAGCTCATTCTATGTTTGTTATTACCAAAGAAAAAAAAAGCCAGTCATTCACTCGATAGTGTCTGACAGTGAAGTCTAGCAAGTAAACGGGTTTCCTTGCATAATTTGAATATTACGACACTGATAACGTTTACATTTCACAGATAGGACATACGTGACATATTCATAATTCCTGCAAAGTTCTACATAACTTGATGTTGGCTGCAAAAGGGACATCTTTAAGGCCGGCAAGCTACATTAAGCTCCGAATTGCAATTTTCAATTTCCCGTCAATCGTGTGTTGCCTTCAATTGCCGCAGACAGCCAAAATTATCAATCGCGTCCGTCGACAAATTTTCAGCATTTTGAAAATCTTGTAGCGGCAAAAAATATCGTTGTGGTTCCATTCAGATTTCGTTGGAGACCGCAACCCTCACTTCCTTGACGTTTCCATGCCGTGCGATTCCGTCTCTAGTCATTTTGAGGTTGCCAACATTTCGTTGGTAGTCGTTGTCTTGACGGCAAAAAGCAACGGCAAGTGACGTCACATCTCAAACCCTGACGACACATTGCGGCAAGTAACGAAGTTGTAACGACCTTGGTGCGACGATGGATTGCACATTTTGACCGGAGGTTGACGGGTGATGACTGTTGATGGCGGGTCATTTGTGAGTACCTGCGACATTGCAACGGTGGTCTGTGACGGGTTACGATTTTGCAACGATGGTCCACGATTTTTCACTTTTTGTGACGTCAGTTTGATTTTAATATACTGTCCGGCACGATGCTATTTTGAAGTTCATATGAAATGAAAATGACCTCCTGTTCTTTGTCAAAGCTGTTTCATCATTAAGGTGGACGGAGCTAGGGTCAGACTGCAAAATGCACCGCCGCACCCCACCGTCAGCCGCCGTTCCTTGCCGTCAGCCAATCCGCTCCCAGCCGTCTGACCTCGTTCCTTGTTGCCGTGCTGCGTCGAGACATCGTCACTCGCCGCCAGACAACGTCCGATTTTGCTCGCTAGACTCTGTTTCCTGCCGCATCCATTCGTCGTTTGCCGTCGTGTTGTCGCTGAAGGTCCCCGTCAGCGAATCTTGGTTTTCCCCTTTTATCGCTTTGCCACCAAAATTTTGTGATTTTCACGTCCGTCGCCTTTCGCTGGGTCTTTGCCACTAGTATGTAAACCGGCCTTTAAAACGAGAACAGTAGGAAAATCAAAGCTAGTGTAGATCTAAATCGGTAATACAAAAACAAAATGCTGAATCCGTTTTGTCTATTTCAAACCAAACAAAGAAAAAACGCTTTGCTTAAAGTCAGAACGCTTAAAGTCAGAAGTTTGTCAATTTAGTTTCTCATCAACTAATATATATGTCAAACAACTCTGACTTTCGTCACCGAACTCTGACTTTTGCACCGAACAGGGCAATGTGACATGAAATTAGACGAACAAAAACATGAATCGAACCCGTATCAAGTTACATTTGTTAGGAAGTATTGCTTCAAAGTTCACATGCTTGACTCTTAGGTTGGATTCAACGCTGGTGACGGAGTGAACTACTATAGTGTCCCTGGATCTCGAACAGCTGCCGTCGTCGATATTGAAACGACATCGAACATCGGTGTATCTGGAAGATGGGTGTTCAGAACAGACAACTCCAACATTAAAGGACTAGCATCTACAACCTCCGGTGTGTAAACAACCAAAACCATTCTTTCAATTGCTTACGTAATCATCATCATCATCATAACAATCATCGTCATAATTGTGGTTTTACAAGGGGTTATTTACTTTCGGGGTCATAATGAACTTCTTTCCTCTTCTTCTTGTCTCGAGTACCCTCCGCATTGGAACAAACTTTACTGCTTTCTTTCTTCACTCTTCCTCTTCATGTGCCTCTTGTGCCATCCACAAGTGGCGGATCCAGGGGGCCCCGGGCCCCTCTCCTGGTGCTCAAGGGGGGGGGGGGGGGGGTAGGACTTTCAATTTTTTTTTAGGGGGGGGGGCATAACAAAATATTAGTGCTCCCCCCCCCCCCCCGCTTATTATCCAGCTGGCTGTTTCGCCGCTAAATATTTTCTCACGAATTGGGCCCCCTCTTTGGTCCCCTCCCCTGCCGCCGGCTGGATCCGCCCCTGCTATTCCAGATTCTACGCTCTTTTCACAGGCTCATCGTCCTCCTTCTTCAAATTATGACCCATCCATCTCAATTCATTCCTTTTAACCACTTACACCTCTGTTTTTCCCGGATCCAACCGTTCCATGTATTTATTTGTGTTTTTGCTATTTGACAGCTTCAAGTTGGATATGGTTCCTTTTTTATATGTTTATATCAGCATGTCACGTTCCCTTTGATATATTCGTTGTGATATACATTTTAAAGCCAAAACAAGTTGATACATTTAATAAGTTATTGTTTGTTAATTAGATCGAATGAACTTTATGTACCTGTATGTGTAAATGATATTCCAGTAAGAGACAATCATAATATTGTTTGTAAATTATGAGATTATTCAGTATCAATGTGAATACCTGTGACAACAAAAATGACTACTAAATTTATGGATTAGTGAAGGCTGAGAGTAGAATAAAATTTTAAGGATATATGTGCACAAATGATCCTCAGTCTCGGAGCGTCAAGTGTAGGAAGCTCAATAGTACAGGAATGGTTATGCTAACATTCTTTATCATACCCTATGGGTACCGTATCGCTCACGTATCGTCTAACTTATTATTTGATTTGATTTGATTCATTTAGTTATTCACGGTAAAAGCCCAGTTCGTACATTAAAAATACAAAGTAAACATACGAAAACATATATATCAAGAATAAAAAAATGGTAGAATTACTGATAACACCGAGTAGAGATAAATTATATGAATTCGTTTGCATGTATACGTAAACATAAAGATTGTTATGAGTTGGTTTTAAAACACATATTATAAAGAAATTCCAAAGAATTTTAACTACGACATAAATATGATAAAATATGATATAATTATAATATATTATAATAAAATATAGTGAAAAATATAGTTAACATACACTGTCGCTCAAATAGTTGGAACATTTTTTTTACCCCAATTTATGAAATTATTTTGACAATGATTTATTCCTAATATATCTAGATAATAGTATACATTCTCAGACTTTATTGAATAATAATTTGCCAGTGTTTGTTTTGCGTGACTGCTAAAGCATGTGTATGATACTATGCTTATAAATTAGGGGACCTACGCCCTTAGGTCATAAATGACAGCAATGAGGATTAATGCCCCACAAAAGGGCACTAATATAGCACATCGACACGGTTTTGATCCTGGGGCCCAGTTACAAGGCCATTGCTTGGCCACTGAACCATGACTGGATGCAGCGGGGGCTAGGGTAGGGGGCAGTTCCCACAAATAAAAAAAAATAAAAAAATGCAATACATTTTCAAAATTTCATTGCAATTTCCCCAGGTCCCAAAAATATAAAAATCCTCTGTACGACCATGCATTATGGCTCAAGGCATTGGCACACGATCTAACATTGCAGCAATTACGACCTTTCCATCTTCAATGCTCTTTAGCCAGTCACATTCAATAGTGATGTGGTCGTTGAGTGAAGTGATCTAAAGCCTGACTGATACTAATTATACCGTTTCTGTAAACCACGTAAACCACGTAAATTCAGCATAAAATTCTTGCGAATGGGTGTATATGTATCAATCATTGCATATAACATTTACTTTGTTCCTCAGGAACAACACCAGTAACAATACCTGAATCAACACCAGAAACTGCAACAGGTACTATACCAGGCACAACACCAGGTAACGTCAAGTTTTGTTTACGGTTCATAGCTAGACACCTTATTGAATTGTAAAGGATTTATGTTCTCTGAATTTCATATGTTTTTTCCCCCTGGCCCCCTGTGAGCAGCTTTACAAAATTGTCAGACCTGATAAATGTCATTTTCAAAGCCAAACAGCATTTGTAAACCACGTAAATTCAGCATGAAATTCTTGAATATAATTATGTATCAATAATAGCATATTTACTTTCTTCCTCAGTAACAACACCGGTTACAATACCTGAAACAACACCAGAAACTACAACAGGTACTACACCAGGCACAACACCAGGTAACGTCAAGTTTTGTTTACGGTTCATTGCTAGACACCTTATTGAATTGTAAAGGATTTGTGTTCTCCGAATTTCATATGGTAATGACCCCTGTGAGTAGCTTTACGAAATTGTCAGACCTAATAAATGTCATTTCCAAAGCCAAACAGCATTTGTAAACCACGTAAATTCAGCATAAAATTCTTGAATATAGGTGTATATGTATCAATCATAGCATATAGCATTTACTATCTTCCTCAGGAACAACACCGGTTACAATAACTGAATCAACACCAGAAACTGCAACAGGTACTACACCAGGCACAACACCAGGTAACGTCAAGTTTTTTTACGGTTCATAGCTAGACACCTTATTGAATTGTAAAGGATTTGTGTTCTCTGAATTTCATATGGTTTTTGCCCCTGTGAGCAGTTTTACAAAATTGTCAGACCTGATAAATGTCATTTCAAAAGCCAAGTAGCATTTGTAAACCACGTAAATTCAGCATAAAATTCTTCAATATGGGTGTATATGTATCAATCATAGCATATTACATTTACTTATTTCCTCAGGAACAACACCGGTTACAATACCTAAAACAACACCAGAAACTGCAACAGGAACTACACCAGGGACAACACCAGGTAACGTCAAGTTTTGTTTACGGTTCATAGCTAGACACCTTATTGAATCGTAAAGGATTTGTGTTCCTTGAATTTCATATGGTTATTGCCCCTGGGAGCAGCATGACAAATTTGTCAAACCTGATTGATTCTTTTCCAGGGCTAAACATAAAATGATAACCACTTGAATTAAGGGCATGAATCTCGAAAAAGGGTGTATTAATGCATTTAACATTATTTTTTTCCCCCAGGAACATCACCGGGTTCAACACCTGAAACAACACCAGAAACAACACCGGGTTCATCACCTAAAACAACACCAGAGACAACATCAGGTTCAACACCTGAAACAACACCAGAAACAACACAGGGTTCAACACCAGAAACAACACCGGGTTCAACACCTAAAACAACACCAGAGACAACATCAGGTTCAACACCTGAAACAACACCAGAAACAACACAGGGTTCAACACCTGAAACAACACCAGAATCAACACCGGGTTCAACACCTGAAACAACACCAGGTTAGCTCAAGTTTTATTGGAGGATTAAAACTAGATACCTTATTGAATTTTAAAAGATTTGTGTTCTCTGAACGTCATGTAGTTATTGCCCCTGTGAGTAGCTTTGAAAATTTGTCAGATCTGATACATGTCATTTCCAATGCTAAACAGCATTTGAAACCCACATAAATTAAGCGCAAAATTCTTGAATATAGGCGAATATGTTGAAATCATTGCATTTAAAAATTATTTGTTTCCTCAGGAACAACACCGGTCTCAACATCTGAAACAACATCAGGTTCAACACCTGAAACAACACCAGAAACAACACCAGGTTTAACACCTCAAACAACATCTAGATAGGTCAAGTTTTATTTGAGGTTTAAAGCTAGACACCTTATTGAATGTTAAAGGATTTGTGTCTTCTGAATGTCATGTAGTTATTGCCCCCTATGAGTAGCTTTGGAAATCTCTCAGACCTGATACATGTCATTTCCAATGCTGAACAACATTTGAAACCCACGTAAATTAAGCGCAAAATTCTTGAATATAGGCGTACATGTTTAAATCTTTGCATTTAACATTTACTTGTTTCCTCAGGAACAACACCGGGTTCAACACCTGAAACAACACCAGGTTAGCCCAAGTTTTATTGGAAGATTAAAACTAGACACCTTATTGAAATTTAAAAGATTTGTGTTATCTGAATGTCATGTAGTTCTTGCCCCTGTGAGCAGCATAACAAATTTGTCAGACCTGATATATCTCATTTCCAAGGCCAAACATCAAATGATAACCCCTTGAATTAAGGGCATGAATCTCGAATAAAGGTGTATATTTATATATATTAATGCATTTAACATTTAATTTTTTCCTCAGGAACAACACCGGGTTCAACACCTGAAACAACACCAGAAACTACAACAGGTACTACACCAGGCACAACATCAGGTTAGGTCAAGTTTTATTTGAGGTTTAAAGCTTGACACCTCATTGAATTTTAAAGGAGTTTTGTTCTCGGAATGTCATGTAGCTATTTCCCCTGTGAGTAGCTTTGAAAAATTGTCAGACCTGATACATGCCATTTCCAATGCTTATCAACACTTGAAACCCACGTAAATTAAGAGCAAAATTCTTGAATATAGGTGCCTCAGATATATACAATTTTAGGATAGATCACAATTTTATTTAAAGTAAGTTCAATGAATATAACAGAAAGTAGTTGCAGCTTGTATAAAATAAGGAAAATGACTGTCTGATTTTCGATCTATTGCTTCACGGTATCTTTCTTTCAGTTGTGACCTGTCAACTTCCTGTGGAATTCTCTGAAGAATTGTCTCCTCTATCCGAAAACTGTGATGCTCGAAGCTCTATAGAATTTAATACAACCTGTTCCTTTAAATGCCCCATAGGGTATACTTTGTCCGGTAGTGACGCTATCACCTGTCAGAATGATGGAAC